GCCAGAAACGCAGGTCGCACATCTTCCAGGTCGCTCTGCTTCGGGCTCTTCTGCGCCACAACTGGCCGTACATCTTCACGAGAGGGTCTGCCCATCTGGTGGGGGTCTGCCTCTGGGCCTTGTTTTTCCCCTTGGGTACCAGTCAGTCACTCTCTTCGTCCAGCGATCATCGGTAAGTCTAGCCACATGACCGGCCCACCTCCGCTTGGAATTATAGATGGCATCGACGACGTCCTTCACCATCGTACGAGCGCGGATGGTGTCATTGGGTATGCGGTCTCGGAGCGTTACCCCGCACATGGCCCTCTCCATGGCTCGCTGAGTGACTGCGAGTTTCTCCTCTTCAGAGACTGTGGTGCTCCACGTCTCCGCCCCGTAGGTCATCGCGGGAAGAACATGCGAGTTGAAGACGTGAGCTTTGACCCGGGGGTCGACGTGCTTAGAAGTTAGTACATCTCGAAGTTTATTGAACGCGGTCCAGCCCGCTCTGCGGCGTCGGCTAATCTCGAGCGTGAGATCGTTATTCATGTTGACCGCTTTACCGAGATATACGTAAGAGGAGACTCGCTCGATCTCCTGGCCTTCTAGGAGGATCGGCTGGTACTGAACTTGTTCGTTGTGCATCCACTGAGTCTTGCCGGGATGAATTTGTAGTCCGATTTTGCCGGCTTCCTGCCTGATGAGGCTCAGGGATTGCGCAATGTCGGCGGGGTCCTCGCCTATCAGAACACAGTCATCAGCGAAGAGGAGATGCGTTAAGCGAACGCCGTCGATGTTCACTCCTCCGGGCAACGAGATTCGCCTCATGATGTTCTCGAGCGCAATAGCGAACAAGTTCGGGGACGTAACCTCGCCTTGTCTGACGCCGCGCCGGATTTGAACACGGACCGGTGTTTTTATGAGTTTGATATCGGTATAACAGTCCGTGTTGCACTGCCGCGTGATTCTAATATAGGGCTCGGGGATACCGCACTCGCGCATGGCGTTGTATACACTCTCATGCTCCACTGTGTCGAAGGCCTTTTTGAAATCGATAAACAGAAGACACAGTGGGGTGCGGTACTCGCGGCAACGTTCCGTCAGCTGTGATATTACATGAATATGGTCAATAGTGGAGAAGCATGAACGGAACCCGGCTTGTTCTACACTCATGTATTCGTCGATGCAACGGCGTATTCTGTTGAGGACAAGGCGGGAGAAGACCTTCAACACCTGGGACAGGAGACATATTGGGCGGAAGTTGTTAAGATCGTGCTGCGGTCCTTTCTTGTGAATGAGCAGCGTAGTAGAGCCCCTCCAAGCGCTCGGGAATTACTCCTTCGCGCACCCCACTCCCCGCTGAGACACACGGGAGAGAGGGGCCAACTCTCTCAGCCAGCATGGAGAGACTCTCCACTCTCACACGATCTGGTCCCGGTGCCTTGCCCTTCTTCATCTGGCCAAGAGCAGCTAGCACTTCTGCTCGTAGGATCGGTGGAATACCTTCGTCTGATCCGTCACATCGTTTCTCGGTGGGCTCCACCTTTACCTGACTGCCAAAGAGGTTGCTGTAAAAGTTGCAAATCAGCTCGGCCATCTCCTCTTGGCTGTATGTTACGGTACCGTCAGGCCTGGCCAGAGAATCGGGGCAAGTGGTCTTCAGTCTGATCTCCCGATAGGCCCTTTTGACGCTTGTCAATTCTTCGGCTGCTTCGCATGCTCTGCGGGCGGCGTATTCCTTGTAATCATGCTCTACCCGGGCACGGATTTCTTTATTAAGGACGGTTTTTTCGATGTGGCTCATACTAGCAACTTTAGCTTTCCTCGTCCTCAGCAGCTCTAATGTCTCGGGAGTCAGACGCGGTCGCGGTTCAGAGGTGACGCGTGTTGTGGCCTTTATAACGACGCGGTCAACCTCGGCCAACAGGTTTGCGTACTCGTCGTCAACGGTGGCGAATATTCTAGTGGGTTTGCACACCGTGGGGGCTAGCAGTCGGACGATGTCAGAATTGACCTTCGTCTTGATGTTAGACTGCTGGGCTATTGCCCTGAGCCGCCGCTCCAATTTTCCGCTTATTTTGAACGTTGCCCTGAGCAACCTGTGGTCGGACCCGATATTGAACCGCGACTCGCTGATGACCGTCACGTCGTCGAAGTACCTGAGGCTCCCGGCTAGGATATGGTCCAGCGTGTGTTTACCTATCCCATTGGGACTGCGCCAGGTCCACCGCCGCCCCTGTCGCTTCTGGAAGAAGGTGTTGGTTACAAATAGCCTCTCCCGCTCGGCGAACTCGGCTAAGACCTCCCCCGAGGGTTGCGGTCTCCACGACCGTACGGACCGACGAAGCACTCGCCGGGACGGCCGCACCCGGTGACACCATTGAAATCGCCGGCGACGATAACTCTGGCGCCACGGGGTTTTGTGCGGATGGCTTCTGAAATTTGTTCATAGAAGTCCTCGACAACGGCGTCATCGTAGGCGCTGGTGGGAGCGTATGCGTTCACAACGAGGATCAGCGTTCGGTCATCGACCCGCACTTGGAGAAGTGCCAGCCTCTCTGATCTTATTTCACATGATACCACTCTGGGCGTCATGCGGGGGCTGATGACAAAGCCCACTCCGCCCACTTTTCCATTGCTTGCTCCAGCACCGAGATGCACCTCGTGCCCGGACCCCCACGTCCACGAGCCGGGTGCGCGCCTTCTAGTCTCCTGCAAACAACAGATGTCGATGCTACATTTGTCGAGCTCGCCAATGAGGTGGTCAATCTTGGCATCCGATGTTAAAGCTCGAACATTGATGGTACCAAAATAGGCGTACAGATAATTGTCGACTGCGAGATTTCTCCCCCTCTGCTTCACCCTCTGTACATGGGATCCGCTGCGCAGGACTGAGGGTACATTATTTTTAGGACCTTTCATAATGTGCTAGTGGCCAGAGACTGCCCACCGCCTAGCCTATCCTGGCGGAGAGCCCCCACTGCCGTATGTAAGGGCCGTCTCTCGGGCCGCCACCCTTTAGCCTACTTCCTGGCGAGGAGTTACGGCTACCCCCTCTTTTGCAACCAGAAAGCGTTTCCCCCCACAGCGCGACGAGCTTGGTGACACTGGTGAGGGTTGAACGTCTGTGAACACTAATATAAATTAGCAGAAAGCATGACTATCGTCACTCACCATCCCATCAGCAGAATGTAGGTGGGATTGCTGAGAGCCGCACAGTACTGATCGGGCATTGTGATTTAGTGATCCAACGCGGCGAAGTCGCGCGACGGATTCGCGGACTCTGACACTAGCCTATGGAAATAAAAAGAATGATCATGAATCACAAACACGAGTCCTCGTTATGTTGCTCGGCCCTCGTTGACTTAGGTTCGGTGCATAGATAGAATGATAGATTGGCGGGGGTCTTGTGGGAGCCATGCCTCTGACTGTGTGGCCCCAAGTACTAAGAGCGAGGCAGCTAAAGACAGCCGATTTGCGCAGCTATGTGTAGGTAGACAGGAACTTGCAGACATCAAAATAGCGAAGGGCCTTTTTAGATCATTTTACTCACTTCGGCCCCTTTTGATGCGCTACATATCGCCTTGTTAGGTATCTAGCGCTCGTAGCAATCTTTCCATTACTTTTCAAATTATTGTGCCCGCTGCCTTCAAGTAGGATATCATCCTTCAAATCCTTCATAGGTCACACCCAAACATGTCACAGTGACTGATTAGAATGGCAAACTCAGAAGAATCTAGTCATCCAATTCGTACCCCCCAGGAGGCCCGTCGCTTGACAAGAAGGCGAGTCAGCGTGGGACGAGTGTGTAGGGAGGTTGTGAAGTGAGTTGGAATAGTTCCTTTGTACGTCCTATACAACATCACGCGCTGCGACTCTGCTTCTTGCCGCGCGACGGGCCTCTGGGGGCAATCCTTCCGGTGAACAAACCTTCAAGTACTTCTGAGCATTTCGTCTTGCGCACTGGTCCTCGTCCATTCGGAAGATACTTTTCAGCATACATGTCATCTCATGTGTTGTCTCGTGCCACATTGTAGCACAGGCGTACATCTTTGTGATCGATCTGCATGCTAGCGAATCGCTGGCAATCTGGTCAATTGGGGCAGTTGTCTAAGTACATCACCAACTCACGCTGATCAATCCTGTTCTAAGTTTACTACTATGAGATGCTTACCGAAGGCGGTGGTTTGCTCACAGGCCCCAGGCCAGGAATGAGTCTTTCATAAGTTAGCGAGGTTCTCCTCCTGGTGAGTCAGGTCTGAATTCGAGTCTGAGCATTTGTGTGCTGAGTTGCATAAGTATTTAACTGTAAAACAAACTACTGAGTTGATTTTAGGCTGTACGTCCTTCTCGAATGTGAACCCAACGACTGAGTCGAGACGCAGCCAACAAAGGTAGGGAAGGATGACTAGTCTGAGTAGATAATGTTATTCGCTTGTTGTAAAAATTTATTTGGGTCATTACAAAAGGGAAATGGGATAGCCCAGCTTTTCCGCATAGTATGTGATGCCTCACCTACCACCCCCTGGTCAGTGGCCCCCCCTGACTCACGAATTCCCCGATTTTTGTGGCAGTATGGTAGCGGACAGCAATCCCCCTTACATACATTTCTGTTCAAAAAATGCGGCGTGCCCATCCTACTTGTATAGCACCCGTATCTGTCCTTGTTACGGGCAATCGATACCACCTGTAGGCGCGAGCGCGTTTGTTGTCGGGTGGATATACGTAGTACGCGACAACGTTATCACCACTTTACCGCGTCGCTTGCCGCGTTGGCGTCAGCCTGGCTCACGTCGATATGCATTTTGTTTGTTTGTTTTTTAGCGGGATTCGCGCCAGTTCGGTCTATGGATTACGTTCAACCAATGGCAACTTACAGAGTTGTTTTCGCTAATGTAATTGATCAAACTTAACTTCTCGTCTTGGCAAGGCTCTCTTGCTTCGGGCGTCAAAAGATTGGGACGGGTGAGTCCAGCCTGATTATAACAACTCAGCCGGTATCCATGTCGGAAGGCGAAGAAAAGGAACACAGTGAATGACGAAGTCGAGGACGAAGAAACACTTCAGAAATTCTCGAGCGACAAACGCTGAGTCCTCAGGTTCTATAATCGTTGGTTAAACCACATCAAAGTTTTAAAAGGACTTTTTCTCGGGTATTTGCCAAGCTAGCTGAAATCTGTGGCCAGCCATATTCTGCCTAGGTAGCTCGGAAGCGCCTAGGTAGTGCTTCCGGAAGCGGTAGCACAAATATTATATAATCGTAGCATCGCGGACATTCGATATTTGATTGGCAAGAAATACGTATCCATTTGCATATCCCCTTAAAGGCAGCGATTACGATAAAGAGGGAGCGCATCGGGGAAGCATATGCACCACACGAAGCAGTTACTTGGCTGCCAGGGAAGCGAGGTGTGGCGCTTTCACGACGAAAGGTGCGCTGGTTGCTGAGCAGGACTTCGAAAGCACTCCGCCCCAAAAGCGATCCGCCCACTAGTTTAGTTGGTGATTTGGACGAGCTGCGTTGCCAGCAGCGGCACAACTGGAGCAACTCGATTGGAGCGTGGTTTGGCATGGTGCCACCAAACGCGTTGCGATGAACTCGTTCATACGTCCGCTTTCTGAGCTGTTACCTGTTCATGAGTGAAAACCAACGGCCAAAAAAGGGGTCCCGTTTTGCGTTTTCTTGACGGATTTCTCCGCTTTTTTCGCCACTGGCGTACCATTGAGCACCACCACGTCTCCTCTAAACCTTCTTAAACCTATCGTAATCGCTGCCTTTAAGAGCCACTCCCCGAGGTGAGGGAGAAATTCAATGATACTCCCTCCTTTTATTCAACCTTGTCCTTAGCTCGCACGCAAGCATCATCACGAACGGACGTCATTGAATCCCTCCACACAGGCGATAGCTCCAGTTGTTGAAGGCCTCAACTGGCTTCAATCCAACTAGAGGGCTAGAGTTAGTCGGGTAGTAAAGGAATGGATCAGCTACTGTAGAAATGACTAAAACCCATTCTTAGAAGAGTCATTCAGGATCTAAATGTTCAACATAGGCTGCGATTGAGCGACACTGACATTTCGAAGGTACTTCACCCACCAGACTCCACTCCATCCCTTTTGCTCAAAATAGCCACCATACGATGAGTTCCGGTAATTCAATCCCTTTGCTATCCACTGAAGGTCCAGACGTCCCATTTTCCCGGTTCATAGTGACGTCGAGGATGTGAGAGCTTTGCCAAGATCACTCTGAACCCTCCATCTATTCTCGTTCGCAACATGCGGGTGTCTGCATCCTCACATTTATTGTACTCTCTCGCCTATCCTCTCGCCTTCGCGCTCGGTGTCTCACCTAAGCACACCCGAATGGCGGAACCGAAGCCCTTAATTTTAGCATTTTGACGAAACCTTTTATCCACTATCACTTCACATCCCTGTGAATGCTCACTTTCGTGTGCTATAATCGCAACACTTCGATCGTGGGCGTGCCTTTACCATATTTGAACCAGAACCCAATGAGTGCGAGTGCATGTTTGCATCTATTGTACATATAAGAGAACGATATTAATCTCGAAAATGGTACCTTTGTGAGAGTGTTGGTCATATGACAGGAATCAGCCGATCGAAATGTACAGGTAGTTGATAGTACGAACACAGTGGTCGGTACTGCCAACGCCATTGGTAGGGCGAAACCCAGTCGTTGCATCATCACCTAAAAATCAAAGCCAAGAAATTAAGAGGTTCCTGGGAGGGTCTCTGTGCGGGGTGATAGCTGAGACTCACCTTGCAAGCAAATTTGCTGCTATGATAGCAGAGAAAAACGGCGGACACTTGGACAAGGGCGATCCAGAGGGCATCGTACGGCGAGGTGAATTGATTCAGTTCTACGTAAGTGTCGTAAATCTGGAGAATCTTTGTATTATGGGAGGATAGAAGTGGCATCTTGGCAAGTGCTACGGAAACTCGTCCGAAATCGCTGCTCGTGGTTACTTAAGAAATCGCGCCGTGAGTTAGGGATACTGGGGCATACTCCTCTATTTTTTTATGTAAACAAAATTAGAGAAACCCCATACAATGGACAAGGCAGCGTATTCAGGCTAGAGTAAGGGAATCTTCGTTTCCACTTTTACTAACTCTTGAATCAGAAATCAATAATCAAACTCAGTCACATTCAAAATCTTTCGCATCGCATGCCACCCTGCATATGACCTGCTTCATATTCAGTTAAGCTAAGAGAAAGACATTAATAATAAGTGTTCCGGTCTCCTTTAAAGAGAAGCAACCCTCACACATTGACATCGACATGAATGGAAAGTTCCTGACATCTGTCAAATGCCAGACACTTTGATCTGCTCTTAGTGCGAGCTACCCTGCGATAGCTCCGCCAGTGTCGCACTTCTTGGGCCCCTGGGAACATAGATTTAAAGCAACAGTTCAGGAACGGTTTTCGCGGGAAAAAACCACCAATAATGAAGTTGTAGATGAAAACCAGACGATTAATGTATGAAAAACTGGAAAAAAACGTCGGGGAGGGTCTTAGACAGGTACTCTCCCTCTGCCGCTCAGCAATGGATAAAGACGCACGTTGGACGAGTTGTCTGAACGTGCCCGCTGTAAACGCGCTCCATTTTTCAATCAATTTTCCCTGTGGTCCCAAAACGAGCACGATTGCCGACGCGTCCAATGACGGCCGGCAAGGGGGCGGGATTGGGGAAATCCCCAAGAACACCCATGTTTGAGGGACTTTCCACCCTGTTTTTGAGTTTCTGAGGTAAGTTCGTTTATTATTTCCACTGCATATGTTCTTCACTAGGGCTCGTGTATCCCTCAGTAGTAGTGGCATTGAAATTTTCGGACCCTCCCTGAACTGTTGCTTTAAAGCAACGCGAACACCCACACGTCCTTGTGCGCGAACCTACCCACCTTACTTTACAAAATTTGCATTAACCAGTTATACATTACCAATAATTTCATTAGTGGTAACGAGAGAACTATTTTTCGTATCCAACAGTAGGAAGGGCCAGTCTTGAAGCATGAAAATGGAGGCACAATTTAGGAAAACAAGTCTCTTCCGTGTGAGAGTGCGGGACGTATGTGTCCCGCGCTGTCGTCAAAGTGTTAAACACAACTTCGTATAGGACGACCTC